AAAAGAACTTTTTGTATAATTGTTTTTAAATGATTTACCTGTCACTCTATGTTAGCCAGGGCAATTTTGTTGTTAAAATCATGACACTGATAAAGATAAAGCCTTCAGCCTGTGTGTCAGAGATAACATAAAAGACAGCCGAGACTCCATTACCCAGCAAGTCCTAACTCAGACAACTACTGCTCTCAAGTGAAGGTGAGGAAACCAGTTTTATGAGCATCCTCCCTTCTTGAGGTCAAGTCTAGGAGGAAATATGAACTTGAAAAGGAGCTGTCTAGCTATCCTTCATGGAGAAAAGGGCGCCACATCCCTTGCCCCCTGTGAGCAAAATCTTCCTCACATGAAGGCCATTTGCAATGTACGGGTTCCAGGAGGGAGGCCTTGTGAAGATATTCAGTGTCACTGTGTTTTGTGCACTCTGTCTCCTTCACATGCATGTCTGTCACTCTAGAACTTTGGGAGGCTAAGTCAGGAAGACTGTGAGTTCGAGCCCAGCCTGGGCAACTTAGTGACTTGGTGAAACCCTGTCTTAAAAAGCAAAAAGGACTGGGGAATGTAGGTCAGTGTGAAGGTCTTGGGTTCAATACCCAGTACTGTAACAAAACAAAATAAAACTGCAAAACCCATAGATTTGTTAATAAGGGAGGAAAATCCTGCTCAACTCTGGTAATTAGAAATAGGTATCTTGTTTCGAGAAAGTGAAAGAATATCTTACTTTGCCAATGGAGTCAAATTAAAGTCACAGGGAGCTGCAGAGTTGGAGTTGGCCCAATCTAAGACAAAATAGTGAGGGCCAGAATGATGCCAGGAAAGGGGGCAGAGAGTCACTGTGCCCAGTGTTCCCAGTGGGGAGGTGGTGTTGCCAATGCCTGCAGCACTGTGGCTGGTAGAGTTTGGATCTGAGGAGAATGTGGCACTGGGTTAGACAATTCAGGTTAGGGTAGGTTAGGGCTAGAGCTTTAATGTTTAGGGCTGTGTTTGGATGGTTAATATTAGGGTTAGGGTTAAAGTTAGGGTAGATTTGGGGTAAAGGCCAGGGTGAGGGTTAGAGCATTAAGGATATGGTTAAGGTCAGTCTTACAGTTACAAATTTAAGATGAGCGTTGGGGTTAGGGATAGGATCAGTGTTAGGGTTAGTGGCATAAAACCCTGGAGTCTGCAGGTCATCATCACATATACCTCAGTTACACTACTGTGGAGACAGAATCTCTGACATGGCTCAATGGTCATTCAGGATCCTGAATGGAAGGACACCTACCTCTGGTCATTTTCCTAAAATTCTCCCACTCGGATCAAGGAGAGATTATATGAATAAAATGAATACAGTAGAGGATCCATCAATATCATCTTCTTGGAAGACTTTTTAAATTCCTATTACATATAAGCCCAAACAGGACATCTGTAAATCTATGCTTTTGATGACAGACAAAAGAGAGATGAAACATAAAGCATAACAAATTTCAAATTTGTTATGGAATTTGTTTGTGAGACACTAGAGTACTCAATAGCTTCAATTTAGCAGAGGGAGAAGGGAAACATGCAGAAATATGAGACTCCTTTCTAGAAAAGGTCTGAAAGAAAATATAGTAGCATTGTTTCTAAGTATTTTTTAAATGAAAGTGCTCTAAAATCTTATGCAAAATTATAGATATCCACCCTGAAACATACACATTCCAACATGCATGTGAAGAAATAATTGTATAAAACATTAGGAGTTGTATGGCCTCCCTAAAGCCCACCTGTTGATCAGATATCACCTCTGTATTCACGAGGGTCCACTAGAGAAGTTAGAACCAATTGCATATCTATTCTATGTTTGTATTACTATATATATCCTAATCCGATCTATAGCTACACTACACTTAGAGTCATCACTGTGTTAGATATCCTCCCTCCATACATGTCTCTATATCCATAGCTGTATCTAATGAAGATAGTGCAGTGATGTGAGCTGAGATGAACTAAGAGCGACAAAAAGACTCAGGATACGGCAAGGTGTGCAGAGCACAGGGAGCCAGGCTGAGTTTTTCGAAGTTTTGCTTCATTTCCTTACTGGCTGTGTGATTCTGGGTAATACTGCCCAGCACAGTGCCTATATTTGGTGATCAGCACTCAAAACAGATGGATATGATACTGATATTTGTGCATTTAAGAATACAATTCCAGAATTTAAAATTGCAGCATAAGTAGTAAGCATAACATTGTATATTGAAATAAAACAAATGTAAAACTAAAGTCTGTAAAAATAGGGAATAATCCAATCTATGTAAAGAAAAGGAAAATAGAGTGTTTTCAAAACTCTTCAAAACACCAATCAGTCTGGAGGGATAACTACACATCTTTGAATGAAAACATGTGATACCAATCACAGCTAGAAAACATTTTCTGTGTATTTCAAGAAAATAAAAACAAAGCTTTCAGATACTAAAACAGTACCAAGTGTACAAATGTCCTTCATGGAAACAGCTTGGAGTTTTTTTCCAGAAAAATAAAAATGAATCAATGTTCCAACAAAGGAATGAGGAAATTGTGACCAGGAGAGAGAAGCCAGAAGCACTGAAATCAGTCAAAGACACAAATGTCAAAGAGCCATTCTAAATGTAGCCATAAGAAGCATTATAAAATGCATTGTTTTGCTTGTATGAAAACTATGCAATTAAAAGTGGGTGTGTAGCTCAGATGAAATATTTAAACATTAGGAAAATGGAAGGAGGAATGTCTAATAACTTATGCTGGGAAAATACCTAAAAATGACTGAAGGACTGGGTAAGGTATCATCTAAGAGTTAGCAATCTATTTTTAAGTTCTCCCCCAAAGTGAAAACAGTGAAGTCTGAATGGGTTCACTGAAATTAAAATAAGTGCAAGTAATCAAACTTTATCTTTTAATTATCATTTATGTACCGTTTGTTTTTAGGTGGTTGAACATTTTTTCTAGGAAGCAACTAAATCCGACTTTTTTTGGTTTGGTCACTAATACCTCAAAATGTTCCTCTGCTTTGGTGACTTGCTAAGAAGATTGTGGGTGGATAAAGAACTGCAAAATTGTATAGTTTTCTCCTTACCAGTCAAGAATATCGGATCTTGTCTTCTCGCGTTTCAACTTACGAAAGAGAACTGTGAAGCAAGCCTGATTTTTGTACACTTCTCTTCAGTCTGTCTTACACCCTCAATATTCCAGTGGATAAGCTGTGAAACAGCTGTACAGGAGCCAAGAGACAGGACTTGGCCCGGTGCACCGTGTGCCTGTCACTCAGTTGCTCTGGGTGGCCATCGGCTTTCCTCCCTTTCTGGGGAGCAGCTAACTCGTCAAGTCCAGGATGGACATGGATCAGCACCATGGGTGCTGGGGCTCGGGAGCTGGTTTTCTGGGCAGCAGACAAATCCTTCTCCTTTCCCTCTTCCTTGAGCTACTCCAAGGTGCTTTCTTATTTGCAGTGTAAAGCATCTGTGTTTGCTTACCACTCTGCTGTGTTCCATTGTGGCAGGAGATCAAATCTCCAGTGCTCTGTGAACACCTCGTCCAGGCCTCTGGCCAAGATAACCAGTGGGTGATTTTATGGAAATGCTCACCTCCATTGGCAACTTTTGAAACAGGCTATCATATACATTATGAAAACAATCCGTCCACCTAACTAGATAATTACAGTTTTTCCTTAAATGACAGAATTATGGTAAGGGGTAATAAAAGTGCATTCGTATACATTCCAGACAATAGTGCAGTTTAGTTCAGATTTACTAGAAAACAATTGGCAAAAAATTTAAAAGCTATTTCTGTCTTTTCATTACATATTTTCATGTCCTAGAAAGTATTTTAGGAAAATAAATCAGTTCAGAAAAAAAAGATTGAGGAACACAAATGCTCATTTTAGTATTATTAGCAGACATATATGGAAGGGAACAAAATGTCAGAGACTCAGTAAGTGGGAATGCAGTAAATTCCAGTTGATGGGAATATTACTGCATTTCAAGTGTTTCTAAAGAATTTAGGATAACATCAGATGTTCTGTTTTATAACTAAAAGCTACAGAATCAATTTCATACATTTCTGTATTATTAGAATATATAGAGAGAACCTAGCAGTTTAAGCAGTGTAGAACATTTAAAAGACTTACATGAAAATGTGGGAAATTATTGGCTGGGCTTCTTTTGGTCCATCAGGCCTGTTTCCCGAGGTCTCCTGCTCAGAGATGGGGTTTGGAAACTGACTGGGTTATGGGGCTCCGAACTCACTGAAAGAGTGAGCCATGGTGGGTTCACAGCTGTGCACTGTTCAGGGGACCATCTCGGGTTGTGATCCGGAAGGAGGGTGCATTCTTGTCCTGGGTTCCTCCCTCTCTCTGCTTCCTGGCCACCAATGGGGAGTGGTTGTCTTCTGCCAGGCCACTTCTGCCTGGAGCCAGTCGACAGGGGCTGAATCTACGGCAACCACCAGCCAAACAAATCTCCCTCCTTTAAGTTGTGAGCATCAAGTGTTTTGTCCCAGTGACCAGAAAATGCCTGATATGGGCTCAATTGCAGCTGAGTGCTTTTATCTTTGCATTTTTATTTGAATAAAGAAAATACATTCCTTTTACAAGAAAAAAATTAAACAGCAAGCAGACAGTTTCAATATGCATAATTTGGCAAGAAAGAAATAATATTTTCGGAGAAAATATAACCCTATATTATGGTTATGCTAAATCTTTGCACTTTCATCTGACTAAAAACCCTTTTGCTCGTGTTAAGTTGTCTTCCAAAGTGTAATACTTGGCGATGTGGAGGAAAAGTCCTAACGTGTCATTAGGTTTTGTGTCTTTGAATTTATTATTTTAACCTATAGTACTAATCCAGAAAAACTGATATGATATGTCTTTGTGAAGTCAAGAGTGAAATTGTTAATATGTAACAATAAAAGGTTCTTGAAGTCCTGAATGCCAGAGGGTGCAAAGCACACAGACAAATAGTGGAGTGAAAGTTGGAAGGTGCAATTTTATCTCACATTTCTAATTCTGTTCACAGAGAAGAGATATTTTCATAATGGTTTGCTATATGAAGCATTAAAATTTGTGAAAAGCAATCGGAAGAGCTACAAGGAGGTAAAATCACCCTCATGAAGACGGGCCAGCACCCTCAGGCTTATGTTCTTGACCGTATCTTCCGCCTCCTCTGCCCTGGAAGAAACAGCCCCTGCTCACACGAGAGTCTGCTCACATGAGAGTCATCGTTCTGAGGATGGAAGATGATGGCCTGGGGCTGGAACCCTCAGAGCTCAGTCCCTCCCTTGCCGGCGGCTCTGGTGATGCAGTTCGCGCTGCTGTGGTTGGAAGGTGACCCCAGAGCAGCTGTGTGGAGCCTGCAGCCCTTAATGGCAGGGCTGGAGCTGGGGCTGTGGGAAGCCACCCATTCTGTTTTCCACTGCGAGCTGAGCAGTTGGGGCCTCACCAGAGTTGTGCAGATGTCTGCAACCTGGTTGTGGTCCTCCCAGCCAATGGGGCCGCTGGCTGTCATTTATCAATTACCCAGTGGCAGGTCCTCTGCTACAGCAAGAAAAAATGTACTGAGACGCATTTTCACCCAAATTTAACTCCATGTTCAGAGATGCGATGTGTGGTGGCGTTTCTTCAGCCAGCCTGGGTGAAGGAAGTACAAAAAGGGTCCTTCTGGGAGCTTTAAACAATCTATGTGGCTGTGTCCGCTGGTGTGGGATGTCCGCACCCCTCTCTCAGCTTGCCCCGTACCTCAGGAGTGTCACACCACCGATCATTCATTAGCTTTAGGGTGTTCATCTCTAGTGTATTACCCGGCAAAGGTGGTCGCTTGTCCTGCACCACCAGCCACTGCTCTGAGGACAGGGATGTCTGTCCAGGACCTCAGGAGCCAACACATAGCAGCTGCTAGGCCATCCCCACACCCTGGGGTCCCTCGCTGCAACCCACCATCACCCACCCTCAACCCGTTTGCACAGCACGGGACCGCAACGTGCCTGAATCTGCCAGCACTGTCACTGCATTTCTGGACACTGTACTGTGCTCAAGGCCACGCTGGGCTCTGGAAAAGTTTTTCTCTTGCTTTTGTGCTTAATTTGAGGGTTCACCAGTGGGATGGGCTTGAACCCTGATGCCTCACACAGTGTGCAGTGGAAGTAGCTATTTACATTTTAAATCACATTGCCCTTCCCACAGGGGTCAGTGAGGAATCCCAGAGAGGGGGCTGTGTTGGGTAAATTATTCTATTCAAACTTAAAATTGCCTTTCTTCACCACCCGCTATGGCTGTGTTTGTAGGTGTTTTTGACCAACTTTTTCTCTCTCCGGAATTAATTCTGTCCTTTTGTGAGTAGACTTTGCATGGCCCACAGCACTAGTATAAAATGTGTGGGGGCTCAGTTTCGATTCACACCAAAACCCTGACATGAAACACTGGACCTGACATTCACCTCTCGCGCTGCACACTTCTGACCAACACAGATCACTTAGATGGATACTTTTAAAAGTATCAGAAATACAAAATGCTAATGCAAAGGAAAGGAAGGGGTTATTTAAAAATTTATATGTCAAAGCATTATTTTTCATTCTATAGACACTAAAATTAAAAATAAATAGAAATTGTATCACCCTCATATTGCAACAGACATCTATATTTAATTATTGGGTGAAAGGTGACACACCTATGCTTTGTACGAAGGGATGGTAGGGAGGGTATAAAACAGTACTGTACAAAAGTGTTTGGGTTGTTACCTCAAGAGGTGGGAGCAGTACTGGTGCTGGTGTGAGGTTCACTTTTAGTTTCCACTCACGTCTTCCATCTTTGAACAAAATATGCATGTTTATAATGACTGAACTCCGAAAGTATCACACTGGGTGCCTGATCAGTGCCAGGAAGGAATGCAGAGGAGGCCTGAGCCACACGAGGGACACCATCCTGTGCACAGGGGTTTAGGTGCTGACAGTCATCATTACTGTGCTTGGCCAATAAATATCAAGATTTCAAAAAAAACAGTAAAATTAAAAATAAAATTAAATGCATGTACTTATAAAGTGGCCAGTGCTCTTGTAACAAATTACCATAAATTTAGTGACTTAAACTGAGCCAGTTTATTATGTTACAGTCCTGCGGGTCAGAAGACCAGTGTCTCTGGGATGAACTCCACTTTCAGCAGAGCTGTGCTCTCTGGAAGGGCTGGTGGAGATGGCCCTGTCTTCCCTCTCCAGTTCCTAGAGGCACCCACAGCCCTTGGTTCCTGGCCCCTTCCTCCTCCTCCAGAGTCCTGCAGGGCTGAGCCCGATCTCCGTCCTTGGTCGCATCTTCCCTGTGTGTCTCTGTCTCCCTCTTCCACTTTTGAAGACTGTGTGGGTGCACTGGTCCTTCCCAGGTGAACCTCAGAGTCTTCCATGCTAAGTCCGCTGAGGATCAAACTGCAGAACATCCCAAAAGGGGAACAAGAGGAGATGAGAGGTGGCCACTCTGCCCTGGACCATCTCCCGGGACAGTGCACGGGGAGGAGCCACCACCTTGTGTCTCACTCATCTCCAGGTACATTGTTAGGAAGACGAGCTAAGAATGTACACCTGCATATGCTGTGCTTGCCTTTAGAAACACTGGAAGCAAAACGAAAGCTAATAAACATAATTCTGGGGCACAGGATGAAGAATGAGGCCCGAGAGTCTGGATGGAGGAGCCTTCCTGATGTGTGGCTGTGTGTGACAGGTGCCGTCTTCAAACCCTGTGGATACATAGTATTGCTTACTGAAGAAAGCTGAGTGAAAATATTTCAGATAGACGAAGTAGGAAAACCCTAGGAGATGTAATTGGAAAAGGAGACTCAGGAATATAGAGGAGCTGAAGGGTCACAATAATCAACACCATATTGGATCAGGGCCTGAAGATGCCTTGTATTGCTAAATCGAAGGCCAAGGCCCCATGTGGTTTATGTGGCTCCACCCTATGCACCAGAGACAGGTAACCTCCATGCCTTACAGATTTCTAGAGAATGGGACATGAGAAAATAGACATAATTCATTGTAAGCATCAAATTTATCCTTTATATAGAAGGTTAATCATAATATAAAATCATAATCATAATATTAATATTAATTATATAAAAGGGAAATCATAAAAAGTGTACTAAAGGCCGATTTTATTAATAGATACAAATATAAAATTTTGCAACAGAATATTGACATTTGTAACAAAATATCTAAAAAATGCAAACAAAAGATGTCATGATAAAATTATATATATTCTGAAAATATAAAAAAATTATTCATCATCACAATTAATTATATTAATTAATAATTAATATTTACAAAATAAAGGAAATTTTATTTTATAAATAGATGTACCAAAATACCTGGTAAAATTCAAAGTGTGTATGTGATTATAAAAAAGGACTCTTTGAAGCTAAAAAAGGAAGGAAATTTCTCTAAGTTTAGAAAGACTTTTAGTCTTAGAGTTTTTAACTCACAGAAACATTATTTCATGAAGTTTTAGAAATATTCTCTTCAATGAGACAATAATATCCATTACCAATAGCACTATTCATTTTTATTGTAAGTCTTGGTTGTATACTAAGATAAAATAAATAAATGGTATGAGTTTGAAAAAAGAAGACAAAGTTATTTTATGTAGTATGTGTGTGTATTTTAAAAAATACACTACACAGAAATTACTAACATCAATAAGAGTCCTATGATTTGGTTTGAAATATGGTCAATATGTAAAATCAATTGTATTCATATATGCCAGAATATACAATTAGGAATATCATTTGAAAGGTGCTGTTTGTAATAGAAGCAAGAGTAACAGAGAGGTTATTCAGGGAAAAAAATTAACAAAATTTATTCCAGGTTTGTAAGGAGCATATTATAATGATTTATTGATGAGTACAGATTTGGATAAATGAAGATATTCACTATATTTATAAACAGAAGATGCACTCACATAAAGGTTTGACTCAAATTCATTTCTAAGTAAGTCTGAAGTGGCTTCCCAGCCACTTTGAACCAAACATTGTTGTGAAAATTGGCAGGCCCGAGATCACCCAGGTGCAGAGAAATCCTCCAGGTGATCAGAATTTACGTGGACACAGGAGCTGAACGGCCTCGGCCTGGCCAGGACAGTGGCGTCACCTCAGGTCTCTGAGGGGAGGCAGCATCTGGGACCTGGGCCGACGGTTACCCTCTGGGGGGCAGCTGGAGCCCTGTGTCCCGGCATTTGTAAGCGTCTTCCGACCCGTGACAGGCTAATGGGACAGGCAGGATTCTACATGGGTCCGTGAGGCCTTCTCTCTTGGGGTGGGAATGTTACAGATATTCCGTGCAGCTCCGGGGATTGAATCCGGGCCTTCACACTGCGCTACATCACCAGCCCTTTTTTATTTTTTACATTTTGAGACAGGGTCCTGGTAAATCACCAACCTGCCAGGCTGGGTGCACACTTGTAGGCCTCCTGCCTCGCCTCCCAGAGTGCTGAGGTTACAGGGGTGCACCGCAGGCCTGGTGGATAGCACCCTGGGGACCCGGCCACTTGTATGGCTCAGGTAAGGGATTTTGCAGGCTTAACCGACTTCCCTAATCCGATGACTGACCGGGCCAGTGAGAAGGAACGTTGTCGGGTCTCCTTGGTCCCTTGCTGTGGGGATACCTGAGGTCCTCACTCACAGTACCAGGAGAACAGGCTTTTGCGGCTCACAGTTTCAGAAGTGGTAGTTCATGGTCGGTTGGCCCTGCTGCCCAGTGGCTGTGGCGCCCGTTGTGTCTGGAGTGCTTGGTAGAGCAAAGCAGCCCACTGGTGCTGGGATGGGTGGCGGTGGGGTCTGGGACCCATGATCCCTTTCATGGCTGTGTCTCAAGGGCCTGCAGGGCCTGCTGGGCTCCTCGCTTCTCAGAGGTTCTGCTACCTTCCTTCAACAGGGAACCTTGACCCATCTGGGCGTGAGGCAAACTCCTTAGAAGGAGCTGTCTCTGCACCAGGGAAATATTGAACTGGAGATGTTCCCCTCGCTGCTGATCCGGAAGGAGAGATAGTTGTGTGGTGTGTGTCTGCAGTACCTTGCTTTCCTATGGAACTGCAAGCCTTGGTCCTGCGATGGCCAGGGCAGGGTTCTATCAAGGGCTAAGCCCAGAAGATCTGGGAGAGAGCCCAGGAGAGAGGCCGGGGGATGAACCTGGGTTCAGTGCTCAGCATGCCGAGGCTCCTGTTAAAAAATACGAGTGTTGTTTTAACTCGGCTCCCCTGTGTTAACAAACTATGTGGTGATAACAAATTAATACAGGGACCTGTGATCATGAATCCTGCCAAGAGAGCAGCTTATAAATGGGACCCCAAAGTGAAT